CGCCGGGGCCGATTCCCGCCAGCCCGCCACCCTCCTTCCCCAGCTCTCCCTTGTCGCTCCCGGCGGACCCCCTCTCCCTGGACGGTGGCAGCATCGAGCTGGAGTTCTACCTGGCTCCGGAGCCCTTCTCCGTGCCTGGCCTATTAGGAGCTCCACCCTACTCGGGCCTGGGCGGGGTGGGGGACCCCTACGCGCCCCTCATGGTGCTGATGTGCCGGGTGTGCCTGGAAGACAAGCCCATCAAGCCCCTGCCCTGCTGCAAGAAGGCGGTGTGTGAGGAGTGCCTCAAAATCTACCTGAGCGCCCAGGTAACTTCCACTGCCCTCTGCCCACTCTCAGCCGGTTCACCATGCCAAAGCCCTGGGGTGGAGGTTCCCCTCTAAGCTCCCTAGCAAGGGAAGAGGTGACCGGGCCCGCTTACTCAGGCCCTCTAGCAATTGCTACCGTCGTACTTGTTATTAAGTGTGTTTTTTGCCCACACTGGTTTATTGGCTGGTTAACTCTGCCCTGAGCCTCAGATTTTGGTTGGCAACTGCGGGAGGAATGAGGCGGATTGCCCTCTGATTATTTCTTCTGTGGCTTGCATGCAAGAGCTTGCTCTGAGGAGAGTAGAGAGACTGCCTCACTGGCCTGGCATCCCAGAAACTAACAGCCAGTGAGCATAAAATAAATATTTGTGGTGCTGGTGAAGAGAAGGGTTGAGATTAGTATGTCAGGGCTATGATACCTGTGTTTTAGCTGGGTTCCCTCTTTATATCGAAAGATGTGTAAATTAAAAAAAAATAACTCTTGCCCACTTGTCAGTTTTCCACACTAAAGTGAGAATACTTTTCTCTGCTGAAATTTTAAGCCGGCACAGTACTTTTATTTCCTCAAGAGAGAAACAAAACAGAAAGAGCCAAACAAAGCAGAGGGAGCAAGGAGAGGTTTCTACCCAACAGGCTGCCCGCCGAACTTTCCTCCCCTCCACCCGCCTTCGGAGAGCTTGTTGGTTTTTTTTCTTGGAAAGCTTGAGAAACATAGCAGCCCTCCTTCATGATTTTCAGTGTGTCGTGTTTCTGCCAGTGTTTTGCACAATCCTTAATGCCTTTTGATCCCATGTCTGATTGTCCTAGGCCTGTTCATCTTTCAAAACCTTGTCTGTTCAGGTGCCAACTCTATCGTGAGGCTTTACCTCATTCTCCAAGCCCTTGCTCACTCAGATGTTTTTAAAATTTGTCTTCGAATCTTTCCTGCCCTGAAATTCTTCCCTTCCTGCCTGCTTGTCTTGCTAGACTGTCTGGATGTCTGAACTGGGTAGTTTTCAGATGAGAGTGTTGCACAGACTGGCTGAAGTGAATTGACCAGGGCTCTGAACAGTGTGGTTCCTGAATATTTTGTGGCCACTCCATTGCTGGGGTCTAGTCTGAAAGTGCCCAACTGAAAATGCAGAGAGAGACTTAGACTGGAATGTTACACAAACAGGAGCTTGGCCCAAATGACTGAGATCCAAACGCCTGGGAGAGACGGTGGTGTCTGTTTTTAGGATTTATCCGCTGATGGAGACTTAAGGCAGGAGGAGTGAGGCTGCTTGTTTGTGGTCGTTTCTATGACATCACCCTGGTAGACATAGTGCTACAGTCTTGTGCAGAGCCTTGGGGTGGGACTCCAACGACCCCCAAATATGGGCCTTGCTCCAGAGACTGCATGTTGATAGCAAATGTGTTAAAAAATAAAAATAGTACACAGTAGCATCCAATGAGAGGTAAACACTGATACCCAGTCACACTTAGCTGTTTGTTTGTTTGTTTGTTTATGGACAGGATCTTGCTGTGTAGCTTAGTCTGGCCTTGAGCTGGCTAAATACCCAGGTTGGCCTTGAACTTTTTTGATCCTAAGGCTTCTACTTCCTTAGTTCTGAGATTAACATTGTGGTCCTACTATGTCCAGCTCTAGTCTTTACCTACTAAGTGCTGGATATAACCACCAGCTGGTTTTGAAGTTCACAGTTGGTACTCCTGGTGGGTTATGCCACCTAACAATTTGATTTCCTTACACTGGGCCCTTGTGCCAAAGCAGTTTTCTTTTTGTCAGCTAAAGTTAGTTTTAGGAAGTTGTTTTTTTCAGTAGTAACGAGAAGAGGGGAGAAGGAACAAGTGGGGTGAGTAGTCCTTTTTCCCCACATTCCAACGAAAACTCCTTTGAAGTGACAGCAGGGTCTGAATCGTGTCTGCTGTCTTTGTGACATGAGTGTCCCTGACCTCCCAAAGCTACTGGCAGGGCTTTGAACAGCAAGGCATTATTTCAAATAATAACAGCACCAGTTAAGTCTAGAATGCCGGGCTCGCTCGCACCTCAGGGCCTTGTACTTGCTCCCTGTGTCCAGCAGACTCTCCCCCCCTCCCCTCTTGTTCCTTTACTTGCTCCATTTACCACCCCACCTTTGCAGCCGTGTTCACATACCAGCTTTGTGGTCTTCACTGAGTTTCTTTGTATGTGTACATGTGTCCATGTATGCCCATGGGTTTGCAGGTCTGTGCACTTGGACAGAGGCCCGAGGAGGACATTGAGTGTCCTGTTCCATTAGTGTCCTCCTCATTCCTTTGAGGCGGAGTCTCTTCCTGAACCTGAAGCTTGTTGTTTCACATAGGCTGTCTGGCTGAGTTCCTGGAGTCTTGTCTCTGCTCCTCAGTATTGGGGTTAGAGGCATGGATATGCCTGTTTAACTAAGGCATTCGAACTAAGGTCTCCAACTTGTGCAGCAGGTAAACCAGGTGAGCCATCTCCCCAGTCTCTGTGACCATGTATACAGTGTTCGGTCTGGAACCCAGAAGAGGGCACCAGATTTCATTACAGATGATCATGAGCCACCATGTGGTTGGTGAGAATTGAACTCAGGACCTCTGGAAGAGCAGCCAGTGCTCTTAACCACTGAGCCATCTCTTCAGTCCCATCTGTGACCACGTTTTAAAAGTTGAGCCTTATCCCCACACTCCCTGAATGTCTTCCTGGGTTTTCGATTTTTTGCATAGCGCTAATACATTATCTTCTACCTGAATAGTTAGCTCCTGTGAAGACAGGAGTTTCCATAAGATTTTGTTAATTTCTGCCTATTTAGCACATACCAGATGTTTGCTCAGTGGTTACTGAATTTGTAAGGAACCTAAATCACCTTAGAAAGCTTAGGTGTCAGATTTTGCTCGGAGCATTGTTTTTTTTTTGGGGGGGTTTAAGACAGGGTATTTCTGTGTAACAGCTCTGGATGTCCTGGAACTAGCTTTATAGACCAGGATAGCCTTGAACTCATAGAGATCTGCCTGCCTCTACCTCTGGAGCCCTGGGATTAAAGGTGTGCCCCACCACCTCAGGGCTTGCACTGAGCACTTTTTTTTTTTTTTTTTTTCTCAAGACAGGCTTTCTCGGTATTGTTTTGGAGGCTATCCTGGAACTAGCTCTGTAGACCAGGCTGGCCTTGAACTCACACAGATCCGACTGCCTCTGCCTCCCAAGTGCTGGGATTAAGGGACCACCAACACCCGGCTGCTCTGAGCATTTTTACATTTAAGTTAAAAGACAAAGACCTGAAATAGGCTTCTTGTGTTATGTTATTAGATCTCAAAGAGTTTAAGCAAGCTTTTAGCTTATGGAAACTTACATCCTTTTTCATTGGGTAAAAATACAAGATTGTGGTTGTAATATTACTGACGTGATCCTGAATTGTAAGATCTGGCCATTTTCAGAACCTATATTCAGATGTCTCTGTTTCACATCATCTGTACCTGGATCTTCTCATTGGTGAAATTTAACGGTAGACAGTGATCTGTGGCAATCCACCAGTGCCTGAGTAAAACCAAGTCTAACTGTGTGGTTGCTGCCTTACTGAACCAGGGCAAAAGGGTATTGCAGCCAGACCTGATGGTAGAGATGTATAATCCCAGCTGCTTGGGAGATTGAGTCAGACAGAGCAAAAATTCAGGACTTACCAGAATAACTTTGTGGGTTCAAAGCCAGCCCGGGCAACTTAGTGAGCCCCTGTCTCCAGATTTAAAAGAAAAAGGTATGTATGTATGTGTGAGGGGGTACTGGAATTATAACTCAGTGGTGAAGTGCTTAACAACAATAACAACAAAATAGACAGGGGAGATGTTTCTTGCTTTCTGTTTCTCATATGGTAAGATTTTATTTTATTTTATTTTTTTGAGACAGAATTTCTTTGTGTAGCCTTAGCTGTCCTGGAACTAGCTCTGTAGACCAGACAGGACTCAAACTCACAGAGATCCTCCTGCCTCTGCCTCCTGAGTGCTGGGATTAAAGGCTAATGCCACCACTGCTTGGCCTGATAAGATTTTTGGCCTAAGCAAATGTGGCAAGTCTTGACTTCCAGGCTGCTCAAAACCTTTGGGTGGGTGGGGGGGCATATATTTAAAGACCTATCAGTGACATTTTTACATTTGAGTTTGTGCCATCTGCTTGGTGCATTATTTAACATCATTTAAGAATGTAAAGCAAATCAGTATTAAGCGTTTTACACAAACATTAAAAACGCATATTAATTGTGAGTTGGAATCATGCCTGGTTGAGTGAACTCTTCTGAGAGGAGTTGCTGTGTTCTTTGACAGAAGAAAGGAATTTGGGAGGCAGAAGGGCTTTTGGATTTGGAGCAGCGAAGAATCTTTTAGGGATTGAAGATGTGGCCGAGTAGGTATCAGCACCATTTCAGTATAGGCCTTAGCAATTAGACAGTGACAGGATCTGTGTGTTGTGATTGGGTAGGGGAATTCTTGGTGGGATGACTTTATAGTGTAGTTGTTAACACGGGCTTTCTGGTTACCATGGTGAAGAGTCAAACTGTAGATGACAATGTCAGCCACTGCATTGGGCATTGTTAGTCTGTGTATCTCCACATGGTCTTGGCTTACTGGAGAATGCCCGAATGTCCTACCTTCCTGGTAGCTACAAGGCATCTCCCTCTTGAATTCACTCTCTGAGTTCCTCTTCCCAGAATTCTCATAGTCTGGTAGCCCTGCCTATACTTCCTGCCTGGTTATATCCTATCTGTCTATTGGCCGAAACAGCTTTATTCATCAACCAATAAGAGAATCGCATTCACAGCATACAAGAGGACATCCCCCATCAAGGTTATGGTACACTAAGAGTGTGTACAGAGTACAGAGTGGAAGTTACCTGGCATTATTGCTTAGGAATATGTATGTTTTGTACATACATTTTTAGAAATGCATTTCCCAGTGACTTACATTGCTTGTATATATTTCCCAGCATTCCTGCAATGCCTCCCAGATCCCTGATTCTCTCAAATATCCTCTCAGCT